TGAAGCACAAGGTCAAAAGGACAAGAATCAAAGGCTGTACAATCCTAGTAATTTTCCTGGTTCACTCTCTCTTGCTGCCAGAGCATCCGAATCCAAGAAGAAATTAGCTTCAGAATTAGAGTGTGAGCACCGTGGCCTTCTCTGAATTGAATGCATGCTGCAGAAATGCCCAGTAGGCAGATCATTAAAGCCTCCTTAAGCATCGTTACGGGAAGGCCACGGAGAGCCACAAATCTCACTATGGAGATATAGTATTTATCCAGTCAGCATTTCCATAATAAGCCAATGACTGCCCAAAGATTTAGCAAAGTGGCCCTGACAGGCTGCCCACTTTACAAAGGGCCTGTTGTAGGGCGGTCTGACCTTGAGCAGGTCCAACCTCCTCTCTAAACCTCAGTCCCTTTGTCTGTGAAATGCGTGAGTTGAAAGGAGATATTTCCAAAGACACTGCCCCTCCACTTACTCCAAGCAGCCAGGATTCCACTCTGAAAAGGAAACTGAGTCTGACTTTGGGAAAACTGGCTCTCTGAAAACTCTAATAACATAGCTGGTGACAGAAAGGTCACTTATCCTAAATATTGAGTTGAGTAGTGGAAGCAAACATCTCTTAGGTGTCTACCTAGCTCACCACAATTTCTTCTTGGTCTCCCTGGGAGTTTCCTGGAGTAGGCCTCCAGTGACCATCTTGGTGACTATATTTCATCTGGAGATTCAACCAACTAGAGACTCTTTGCCCATGAACAGCCCATCAGGCTGCATCCCCTGAGAAATTGGAATTGAGAGACTACCAATCAATTTCCACCTAAGATTAGAATTAAAGTTTATTTGTAGATGCCTTATGTTAAAACAGGAAAACAGTACTTACTCTCAATCCACTCTTTCTGGTCTTTGAACTTTAAAATGTGAGGTGTCAAGTCTTACAGAGTGTAAATTTTCTGTCTCTTCCAGCAACACAAAGCAAGAGTGGAAGTGATAAAATACCAACTGTGTAACCACCATTTGGTGTCAAAACAGACTTCCAGCTGACTTTCTTAGCATGGCTCAAGGACTTAGGCACCAGCCTTGACTAGCAACTAAGTGCTAGAAAACCCATATCTAACCATTAGCTCTTCTTACCCTGGCCACGTGGCATCTGAAGGTCATGATCTTGCCATTCATGATCTAGGAATACTCATTTCTAGAGCATGTATGTGGGCCTGGAGGCCAAGGCAGAGCAATGGGGAGTTGCTAAAGGACCTCTAACAGGAGTTCTGGGCTCAGTGTGGTCAAGGGCAGCCACAAGGGCCAGGTAAAGCAAGTTATTAAGGAGGAAGTATTCTAGGTAAGTACATTAGCTTTAGTTGCTTGCTTTTTACTGGCAATCAAAGACTCCACACAGAGATCTGATCATGAAAACCCAATCCTGGGAGCAAATGGGCAGAAGAGAGAATGATAAGGTTTGTGGTTCACAATTCTGTCCTTGAAAAAGTACCCAGGAACCTGTACCACAATCTCCCCTGCCTCCCATTTCTGTGCTTCAAATACCCCTCTTCAGATCTTCACTCTATCCCAAGTTTCAGAGAGAGAAAAAAAGAGAGGGTAAGCGAGCTATTGGTAGGAGTGTTCAGTTATGACCTAGAGCTCACAGCAGTAAAGAGACAGGTTGGAGAGTGGGGTGACTCATAGGAAACCAGGAATAAGAATCAGGAGGAGCTAGCCCACTGCTGAACTAACTGGGTGCCCTTGGCCTAGTAATCTTGCTCGCTTTCACTTAATTCCTATGCGAAAAGAGGGAGGGTCAGATTATCTCCAAGATCCAAAGCCAGATGGAATGAGTTTCCTAGTCCCTTCCTCCCACGATGACTTCTGTGCCCTGACTAGTTCCCATGAGACTTTTCCCCAGGAAAGGTATCTGCTCTTCCAAAGCCTTGCTCAGATGCTGCCTGCCCAAGAGGGAACAAGCAGTGATTGGGATTCACCCCACACCTCTTTCCTCGTATCACCAGAAAAGCTCATTTGAATTGATGAGTAGAGAATTGCCAGTCCAGGCTGCTCTGGCAATAGACAGTTGAATTTATTGGAAGTGAACACTAAGCTTTCAAATTCACATCCGTCTGGGTCCTTGGATTTGCATGATTGCACATTCAGACTCAGGCACCTGCACTCGGAGCATCCCTGGCCGACCACACGCTCTGCTGAGCCAACCCCAGCTGTTTCAAGCTGCCTGTTTAAACAAGGCCTGCTGGGAGTTGAGCATGGCTGCTGAGGCGAGACTGAATGTTAGTAGTTAGCTTGCTAGATCAGGAGAGTCCTTGCTGTTGGCCAGGCTCGTGTAGGCTACTACCAAGGACAGCTGAGGAGGGCGTGAGCCTCAAGGAGCCTCCTCCCTCATGGGTTGGGACTCCTGCTAAGGCTTGGCCTTCACTCTTACCTAGCTGCAGGGCTGGGCCATGGGATACTCACCTTCCCTGCTAGAGAGACATCCCTGAGAGCCTAGCTTTTCCGAAGGAAGGGAGCCTATAGGGAAGCCCCTTTGTGAAGATTTCATAGGAGGAAACCATACACAACTCACTTCAGGGCCTAGATCTCCTCAGTACTGTTACTGTGATATAACTCCAGGCCTTTCTGCTCCTGTTCCCTCAGCTGAAAATGAGAATAGGGACAGTAGCCTATCTCATTGAGTTACCGAGGATTCAGTGAATTAATACATGTTAAGCACTTAGAATAAGACCTGGCACATGGCAAGGGTTCAGTAAATCTTAGTCATTTTTATGGTCATTAATTTGGTCCAGGAAGGTCAAACGCGGAAAGTACCTGGAAAAAACAATTTAATTTCATTGCTGAAAAGCAATAATCTTATGTAAATACCAAAATGTTCCTTGTAAGCACAAAAGAATTATTTAACCAGAGCACTGGGTGCTATAAAAGGCAAAGTAATCGCTCATGAAATTTTAGTTTTAAGACTAAGATGTGCTATTTAGCATGCAGGATGGGAGAACGGGAGGAAGGTATCCTAGGTTAATCCTAACTCAATCTAGTAGATGACCTTTAGGCAACTTGATTTCCTTCCCCAAGGGGGTACTTTGCCCTCAGTTCTGAACAAGAAAATTGGAATAAAGCTGTTAAATAATGTGTTGCAAAACCAAGATTTAAAACCAGATCCATCTGAGTCAAAATGCCTTTCTGCTGCTTTCTCTCTAGCTAAATGCAATGCTGGGTAGTCAACTCCAGAGGAGACACAGACATGGCCTAAACCCAAAACAATCCCAACTCAACAGGAGTATCTAATGTTATACAGAAAGGCTGGAGTATAGCTGAGAAAATCTCCCAGTGAGAAAGAGAGAATGTATTAGAAGATTGAAACAAGAGGCCTGGTTTTAGCCTTTCACCTAAGAATTAACATATCAGGGAAGACAGTTGTGTCCCATGTCATAGTCTCTGAGTTTGATTCCTACTTGGGCTCACAATTCTACTAGCTGTACAGACCCTGGGAGTTAGAAGGTGACAACTTAAGTAGTTTAGTCCCTGCCATTCACATGGGAGACCCAGATTGAGTTCCTAGTTGCTAGATCTGGCCTGGCATGGCCTGGACTGCTACAGACATCTAGAGAGTGAACCAATGAATGGAAGCTTTCCCTTTCCCCACAGGACTCCCCTCATTGGCCTCTCAAATAAGATAAAATAAAACAGAGCCTGACCCAAGTCTCTTTGGCTTCTAGCTTCTATAGTGGTGATACCCACTTACCTGTACTCTTACCATGATACTATCTGCCAGGTCATGATGTAGCCAGAAGGTCTTAGTCAGAGCTGAACCAGTGTTGGCACCATGCTCCTGAATCTCCAGAATGCTGAGCTAAGTAAATCTCTATTATGCATATATTGCTCAGCCTCAATTATTTTGTTACACAGAAAATGGACTAAGATATTCACTAAGATTTCAATATCAAGACAGAGTCAATTGAGTCTGAGGATATTAAGAGTCATCAATCTAGAGGCAGGCCAGACCAGGCCAGGCTATAGCACCTGCTGGCATACATGTGGGCTGGGGCTGGGGGTAGACAAGAATGTGACTGTTGCAGTACGCTCTGGCCACAAGCAAGAGCCAGGACAGAGTACAGGTCAGGCAGGGTTGAACTGCAATACCTGCCAATTCATATAAGGGCTAAGGCTGGGAATAGGCTTCTGCATCTGCTGGTATTTTACAAGAGTCAGAATGGGTGTGGTTTAGCAGGGATAGGGCATAGAACCCATTGGCAAGTGCCAGGATTTGATGCATGTCATGTCAGGCTGGACCGCAGTACAAGCAGAAGATCCAGAGCTTGGAGTAGGATAGGGGAACTGTAGGCACTCCCCTATTAGGCTGCAGCTCCCACTGGTGAGCACAAAAGCCAGGGCTTGAAATGCGCTAGCCTGGACAAGGATACAATACCCAACAGCGTGCATGTGGGATAGGCCTGAGGGCAGGTGAGGCTGGGCTAAGCCCAGCACCTATGGGTTAGCATAAAAGTCAGTTGGGATGCAGAACAGGCTGGCTTAGGCCTCACAATACATGCCAGCACGCACAAAAACTGAGGTTGGCTATTGGTCTGGGAGTTGTTCCAACTAGGCCACAGCACTTGTTGGCATGCATGAAGCCAGGCCTGTGGCTGGCTGGGATGAGTTAGCCTATACCACCTATCAATTCACATAAGATATGGGGCTGGAGAAAGAACTGACCAGGTAGCTGCATCCACCAGTGTGTGATATGTGCATTGGTTGGTACATGTTATGGACTGAACATAACCCTATGCTAGCTGATGCACAAAAGGGTCAAATTTGAGGTCACCTCAGGCAAGGCTTCCTGGGGGACTCCCCAACTAGACCACTATACTCAAACCTTAGCCACAGGGAAAATCATGAGATATGTGGTCCAACCTTAGAATGCATGTATCCTAACTGGGCATCCTCAATTGCTAATACCTGTGTAGTGGACAGCATACCCCGATTCACAGAAAGGACAAGCAGCAGCTCACCTCAGTCAGCAGTGCCTTGTTGGAGGATAGAAAGCAGAACAGGTGGGACAGCTCTTCTAGCCAAGCTTCATAGTAAGTGAATGCATCTTGGATGTACTAAGGTGGACCTGGTAAACCAAAAGACCTTAGAAAGATTTTCTCAATTCTAGTGCAACAAAGCTGACAACATCTCAGAACTATCAAAAGCATTCAAGTAACACACTCAAAACATTCTTCCACACATGAGGGGGTCTCTAAAGCATCATCAAATGACAGTTCCCCATCCCTGGGTGCTGATGCAGTCTGACAGCAAGGAGTGACTCCCTTACCTCCCCGCTCAGTGAACGCAGAAAAAAAAAAGATGAAGAAAAGAACTGAACCATTTGTCCCACTCATCATCTTGCATACCTCGACCCTCCCTACACTAATTGGAGGCCCAAATGAGTGTGTATCCCTCTCAATTATGTAAATAATACTGGAAATATAATTTTAAATTATTAAAAATAAAAAGCCATGGCCCAGCTTGATGGATTAGCACCTAAATCTTTGCCTTGAATGTGCCGAGATCCCATATGGTCATTGGGTCATATCCCGGCTGTTTCACTTCCCTTCCAGCTCCCTGCCTGTGGCCTGGGAAAGCAATGAAGGATGGTTCAAAGTCTTGGGATCTAGAACAAGCTCCTGGCTCCTGGCTTCGAATAAGCTCAGCTCCAGTCATTGCAGCTACTTGGGGAACCAACAAATGGAAGATCTTTCTCTCCATATGTCTCTCTGTAAGTCTCCCTTTCCAATAAATAAATAAACAAATCTTGAAAGAAAGAAAGGGAGAGAAGAAAAAAGGAAGAAAGGAAAGGAAAGGAAAGGAAAGGAAAGGAAAGGAAAGGAAAGGAAAGGAAAGGAAAGGAAAGGAAAGGAAAGGAAAGGAAAGGAAAGGAAAGGAAAGGAAAGGAAAGGAAAGGAAAGGAAAGGAAAGGAAAGGAAAGGAAAGGAAAGGAAAGGAAAGGAAGGACGAGGGAGGAAGGAAGGACGAGGAAGGAAGGAAGGAAGGAAGGAAGGAAGGAAGGAAGGAAGGAAGGAAGAAAGGAAGGAAGAAAGAAAGAAAGAAAGAAAGAAAGAAAGAAAGAAAGAAAGAAAGAAAGAAAGAAAGAAAGAAAGAAAGAAAGAAAGAAAGAAAGAAAAGGTCATTTCTCCCAAAAAACTAAACCTTAGAAAACATGTAATTCCCATACACCCTTTCTCAGGAAGCTTTTGGAAAAGGTACTTCATCAAAACCATGGAATAATCCAGATGTGTACTCTAGTTGGCTCTCACCATCTCGCAAGAGCATCTTTTCCCAATTCTGAGTTTAGTGATTTCATGCCAATCATTTAGAATAAGTTATGGTGGACATGTCAAAAGCACAGAAGTCAAAACACACTGTAAATCAGTGCTTCCTGTCCTTAACTTTCACTGGGTGGCTGTTAAATGCTGACCCACACATCAGTGGAATCAGCTACAAAGGAGAAAACTAAGGGATCTCCAAGGGTATGGACATTTGTGTTGCTTCAAAATCAATATGTTGATACCTAACTCTACTGTGTTGTATAAAGAGACAGGGTCTTTGGGAGATGACTGGACCATGAAGGTGGAGCCCTCATAAATGGGACAAGTAGTCTTGCAAAGTAGCCCTGAGAGAGCCTCTTTCTTGCCCACACTGTGAGAGTACATAGAAGGAATGGATCCCTATAGACACCATATCTACTGGTGCCTTGATCTTGGCCTCCTACCTCTCTGAACTTTGAGCAACAAAATTCTGTTTAATAATTCTGATTAATAAACCAAACAATTCAATAATTCATTTAATAAATTATCCACCAGATGTGTTTTGTTACAGCAGTCAAAAATGACTAAGAATATTCAAGAGAAAAAGACTTTGTAAATTCCAAAAATGAGACAAATTATTGAAAAGTTGAGGAAAGAATGGAGAGATAAGGGTTCTACCAAAAATGTCTCCCAAAAAGGCACTGAAAAGACTAGTAAGTTAACAGCTGAGAGATACTTCAAAACTACAGTAGAGACTTTAGAAATGTATTAACAAAGTGAAGAAACAACCAATGGAATGAAATGAGAGAAAATCATTGCATAATTCACAGCTGATAGGGGACTAATATCCAGGATCTGCAAAAAGCTTCAGAAACTCAAGGACAGTAAAAGAGAAAAAAAAAAAAAACCAACTGTGAAAAGTAGGCAAAGGAAATAAACATACATTAAAAAAAAAAAAAAGATTCAAATGGCTAACAGACATTTAAAAAGATGCTCAGGCTCCCTAGCCACCAGAGAGATACAAATGAAAACCACACTGAGGTTCCACCTAACTCCAGTGAAACTAGCCGACATTCAGAACTCTACTAACAACGCCTGCTGGTGTGGATGTGGGAAGAAAGGTACCCTACTTCATTGCTGATGGGTATGTAGGCTAGTATAACCATTATGGGAATTAATACGGAGAGTGGTTAGAGAATTACAAATAAACCTGTTATATAACCCAGCTATCCTGCTCCTAGGAATATATCCAAAGGAAATGAAAACTGCAGATGAGAAAGGGATCTGTAATTCTATATAGCAGTATAGACTATAATAGCAAAGGCGTGGAAACAACACAGATGCCCATCCAAAGAGGAGTAGATAAAGAAACTGTGGCACATCTACTCTATGGAATACTACTCAGCCATTAAAAAGAATGAAAATACTCAATATGCAACCAGATGGTCCCTTCAGGAGATCATTATGCTCAGTGATATAAGTCAATCCCAAAAGGTTAAATATCATATGTTCTCTCTGATACAAGGCAATCTTAATGCAAATTATAAGATCAATAAGCCTTTCAGTAATATTTTTGCTGCAACACATGGGTTTTGATTTTCATTTCTTCAAAGTAGTTTCTTTTCTCTTATTAACTTCTTCACTGACTCATAGATCACATATTAGCATCATTTTATCCAAGAAGCTTTTGTGTTTTCATTTCTTCATCAATACATTGGTTATTCAGTAGCATGTTACTTAACTCTGTGGTGCCATAAATCTTTTGTTTTATCTTTATTCCTGTTATTGATTTTGTTTTTATGGCTTCTCCCTTAAAGGGAATGTATTGTAACTGTGTAATAGAGATTATCATATCATGTTGTGAAAATACAATACAGTATGCATCTCTACTTCCAAATCAAAGATAGACTCCCAATGAAACTGTTAGATCAATCTTGAAAATAGGATGCTGGACTGTGTGTACTAGCAATTTTAGGACACACTTAAATAACAGAATGATGGACTTATTACTACTTATGAAGCACTATACTATTATAATAATATGGGGGAAATAAGTTGAGGGAAGGAATATGAAGAAGGGGTAGGGAAAATCCCAAAGCCTGTGGAATTGCACCATAAAATTAAAAATAAAATAGAAGAGAGAGGAAAAAAATATATATTAATAATAGATGAAAATTTTAAAAAGAGGCAATTATCAACCACAGGGGAATTCTACATTTCACCCGTAGGGGAGGGGGAAGGGAAAAGGAGCTTAGTACACAATTTGGCCCTGGTATGAGCAAATTCTATATAGACACAATGATGCAAATATCATATTGCTGTAATTGAAATGTCAGAAAAAGTATCAAAATAATGTGAGGGAGAGGGAAATTGGGAGACTTGAAATAGTAAACTCAATCTATAGATTTAGAAGCAATCAATAAAACGTCATAGAGGACACATATATAGCAGAAATATGTTACATAGAAATAAGGAGGCAGACACCTGAAGGCCAAAGTAAAAAGGAAAAAAAAGTCATAAGTGTTTGCTGCTAGGGAGTACTGGATAATTAGGAAGCAGGGTGGTACGGCAGACAACTGTCACTTCTCGTTCCTGTCCTCACTGTCTTGTCTTACTCTCCAACTGCATGCACAGTTACTCTAGGAGCAGATGTAGATGAAAAGCAAGAACAAGACAATGAGCTGAGAGGAAGCCTAGACCCTGTTCTTCCTGCTGTTACAGGCCTGGGTGAAAAGCAAGGAAAACAATCAGAAAGGAAAGAAGAAATGGACAGTACAGCCGCAGGGATCATCTGGGAGCCAGACAGCTGAGGCCTTCTAACCCGAAGTCAGCTTCTCTCTGAACAGCTCCCAGACACGGCTGTGCGAGACAAAGTTCAAGGGAGAAAAAAGTGTGACCAATGACAACATAAAACACATGATGCCCAAGTGTCCCACAAGAAGGAAGGGATGGCTGAAATTAAAATATTATGTCCATATATAGAATTCAGGGCACACATTTAAAAAGCTGCTTAAAAGGCTATTAAGTATTTACAATCTATTCCGTTTAAGGAGAGTAAAAAGAAAATCAAAAAAGGAGAATATACAATGAAACATATAGTACACATTTTTTTAAAGATTTGTTTATTTATTTGAGAGTTAAAGTTACACAGAGAAAAAAAGAGTCAGAGAGAGAGGGAGAGGGTTTCTCCAAACCCTGGTTTATTCCCCAACTGGTCACTGCAGCTGAGGCTGCTGCAGCCAGCAGTCTGAAGCTCCTTCTGGATCGCCCACAAAGGTGCAGTGACCAAACACTCAGGTCATCCTCCACCACTTCCCCACGCACATTATAAGGGAGCTGGATCAGAAGTGGAGCAGCCAGGTCTTAGTCCAGTGCCAGCGTGGGATGCTGTCCTCACAAGCAATAGCTTCATTCATTGCACCACAAGATTGGCCTTAACAGCACACTTTCTCATTGGCTACTTTCTGTGTTTGAGAGGCAGTAAAAAAAGAGAGAGAGAGAAAAACACAGAACTCCTAACTACTATAGGAGCTGAAGCTGGGAATCAAACTCAGGCACTCCAATGTGGGACATGCTACCTTAATCATTAGGCCCTTTAGGTCAAATGCCAATGCCTTGTTAGCATTAAATTACTTATGCAGCGGTAGGCACCATGATCCAGCAGGATACCCACATCCCATATCTGAGTGCCTGAGATAGAATCCCACCTTGGCATCCAGCTTCCTGTTGTGTATTCTGGGAAGCAACCAAGATGTTGGCTCACATATTTGAGTTCCTGTCACTCAAGTGGAAAACCAAGATGGGGTTCTTAACTCCTGGTTTGAGC